TTATATCTATTGATCCATTAGGTTTCCTATTACAATGATGAACCAAAAGAAAGGTACAAAAACCAGGAGGGGACAGACAAAATCTTAATTTCCTTATTTGAATTTGGAATTCACATAAATAAGCACCCCCTTTTTGCATGGCGCTCAAGATGAAATCTGGAAGTACACTATATTACCAAAGTATTGGGACGCCCGCCCGCCTTTACATACACATGAGCTTTAATAGCCTCCCAGTCTTAGTCTGTAGGGTTCAATATTGAGTTGGCCCACCCTTTGCAGCTATAACAGCTTCAACTCTTCTGGGAAGGATGTCCACATAGTTTAAGAGTGTGTCTATGGGAATGTTTGACCATTCTTCCAGAAGTGCATTTGTGAGGTCAGGCACTGATGTTGGATGAGAAGGCCTGGGTCACAGTCTCCGCTCTAATTCATCCCAAAGGTGTTCTATCTAGTTGAGGTCAGGACTCTGTGCAGGCCAGTAAAGTTTCTCCACCCCAGACTTGCTCATCCATGTCTTTATGGACCTTGCTTTGTGCACTGGTGCGCAGTCATGTTGAAACAGGAAGGGCCATCCCCAAACTGTTCTCACAAAGTTGGGAGCATGAAATTGTCCAGAATGTCTTTTCATGCTGACGCCTTAAGAGTTTCCTTCACTGGAACTAAGGGGCCAAGCCCAACCCCTGAAAAACAACCCACACCATAATCCCCCCTCCACCAAACTTTACATTTTGGCACAATGCAGTCAGGCAAGTACCGTTCTCCTGGAAACTGCCAAACGCAGACACATCCTTCAGATTGCCAGTGTGATTCGACACTCCAGAGAACACGTCTCCACTGCTCTAGAGTCCATTAGTGGCGTGCTTTACACCGCTGTATCTGACGCTTTGCATTGCACTTGGTGATGTAAGGCTTGGATGCAGTTACTCAGCTATATAAACCCATTCCATGAAGCTCTCTATGCACTGTTGTGCAAATCTGAATACCGCACGAAGTGTGGAGGTCTTTAGCTATTGACTCTGCGCACTGTACACTTCAGCATGTGCTGACCCCGCTCCGTCATTTTATGTGGCCTACCATTTCTTGGCTGAATTGCTGTTGTTCCCAGTTGCTTCCACTTTGTTATAATACCACTAACAGTTGACCGTGGAATATTTAGTAGCAAGGAAATTTCACGGATGGACTTATTGCACAGCTGGCTACCTATCACGGTACCACACTTGATTTCACTGAACTCCTGAGAGCGACCCATTCTTTCACAAATGTTTGTAGAAGCAGTCTGCATGCCTAGGTGCTTAATTTTATACACCTGTAGCCATGGGAGGTGACTGGAATATCTGAATGATTGATTTGGAGGGGTGTCTCAATACTTTTGGCAATATAGTGTATGTGCAGACAAGAAACATGCGTTTCCTTTTTGATCCCAGTTTAGTTTACAGAGGATAATAAGAGGTTTACATTAAAAAAACACACAATGCAGCTACATGAATAATTTATTTAATAAAATACTGTATATTAGTTGTATAATTTGATGGTAAAAAAGAAGACTGTAGCTCATTAATTCAGGTTTATTCTAGAGCGCATACATATATGTGGATCACCAATAATCCCTAGTAGGAGTACTTTTATGTGCTATGCAACCTTGGTTACAGCAAATTAAAGATTTCATATCAAGACAGTTGTTTGCAAGTAGAAGTATTGTATTAGGCTAATGGTGCTGCACTCTTGTTCTAGGGCCACTAGGTGGTGTTGGTCCACTGTTATCTTAAATAGCCAAATATCACAGAAAACATTTACAGTAATACAACAAACGCCTCGGTTAACGTAATTTTCGGTTTATGAATGAAAATCCATTGAAAATAATGCCTCTTTTTACAAATTTTTTACAAATTTTTTTCGCAATACATAGTGTATGTCTGTGCCAATTTTTAAATGCAATTGCCGGCTTTTTTTTTTTTCTTCACTACAGCTCACAGAATAAGCTGTCACTTTCCCCCTGAGTTAACGGAAACTTTGTTTCTTTTAAGAAACTAAAAGGAAACATTGTTTCTCTTAACTCAGGGAAATAAACTAAAAAACTTTCTCTCTTTTATCTGGGGTACCATACCCCATATTCATTCACATGGGGGGCCCCCTTGTTAAAGGCGGCTTCCAAAGCCCGCAGACCCCCACAATCACCGGCCAGGGTTGTGGGGAAGAGGCCCTTGTCCCCATCAACATGGGGACAAGGTGCTTTGGGGGGATCCCCCTGCCCCAAAGCACCCCCCCATGTTGAGGGCATGTGGCCTGGTATGGTCCAGGATGGAGGGGTGCTCGCTCAACAGTGGTATACAGGTGATTATTCAAACATCATAGTGTTATTGCAGATATTGCCGAGTTTCTTCTTTCTCTGTACAAAAAAGAGGTGGTGGCAGTGTGAAGGGTTAATTGCGTAAATAACCTGACCCAATAACAATGGATCCCAGGCTGCCGGCACACAGGTTGTGGTCCATTAGCTGGAAAATCTTTGTGCAGGGTGTAGCTGGGCGTGGCAATGTTACGCACGTGACAGGGCGGTTATAGATTGGCTAGTCCTTCAGTCACGAGTTTGCTGAGAAGGGCTGGGGTCTGACGCCACGATCGTCACACCATGTACCCTGTACCCATTCACGTAGGGTGGAGCCGGGATCTGGGGACCCCATTGTTAAGGAGGGTTTCCAGATTCGATAAGCCCCCCTGCCCGCAGACCCCCCCACAACCACCGGCCAGGGTTGTGGGGAAGAGGCCCTTGTCCGCATCAACATGGGGACAAGGTGCTGTGGGGGGGGGGAGCCCCCCTGCCCCAAAGCACCCCCCCATGTTGAGGGCATGTGGCCTGGTATGGTTCAGGAGAGGGGGGGCGCTCGCTCATTTCCCCTCCCTATCCTGACCTGCATGCTCAGATAAGGGTCTGGTATGGATTTTGGGGGAGACCCCCACGCCATTTTTTTGCACTTTGGTGTGGGAGTTTCTCTCAAAATCCATACCAGACCGCACTGTTTTTTAATTTTTTTTTTCTATTGCCAGCAATTCTTTTACATTCAGCTGTCAGCGGGCAACACTACTGACAGCTGAAACATTAACCCATGGTTATTACTACTAAAATACTGCATTGCTTGATAAAATAACTCATGCAGTATTTTAGTAGCGTTTACTTTTTTCTGACCTCAGGAAAGCATTAATTGGTTTTCAATGCATTCCTATGGGAAACAGCGTTTCGGTTTACAAATTTTTTGCTATATGAAAAGTCCTGCAGAACGAATTAAATTTGTAAACCAAGGTATTACTGTATTTGGAACTAAGGGCAGATAAGTGATGTATTGTGGAAATGGTGCCATCATGAATTGTTGGCTAGATAGAAAGTATGTTTGGGGAACATTTGTAATGAGTAATAAACTGTAAGTGATATCATATGGAACCTGCATATCGTTATGTGTACTGTATCACCAAGGAACTGTAAAGACCAGGGCAGGCATAATTAAACACTCTCAGCAAGTGCCTATGACTACACTGGTCTAGCCGTAATCTTCCAGTGCTGCAGAGGGTAACAGGACTTTGGATTTCAACAGACAGAAACCAGCAGCACAGAGGACATTTCACACTGAAAGTAAGTACCGTTCCGTGTGCTGATTTTGAAAAAAAAAAAAAAATCAAAATAAGCTTAGACTTTAATTACAGCAAACAACTTCCCTGCCCCTCATAAACAAGAGTAAAATTACCAGATTTTTAAAATTAAATCCGGAAACACCCTACTGACAATGCCTACTTTGAACCACACTCATAAAATCAAATCCTCATTTGGCACCACCACACCCACAACATTACGCCTCCATTTTTAACATGTCCAGAAACAACTAGTCATAGACTTTTGTAACAAGATAAAATACCTTGGGTACCACGAGAAGAGAAATGATGTGGCACGTGTAGCACACTGCAGCAAATTGTTGGTATGACAAAATTGCAGTAACAGTGGACAAGGCGTATGGTTAAATAAAACCTGAGCCTATGCTGCTAGGGATCCAGGTCGTGAAAGGCTTAGAGTGCAAGAATCAGGAAAAAGTAACACATAGAGTGTAGGGGTCAGGAGCAAGTAACACCCAAAGTGCAGGAGTCAGGATTAAGTAAGGCACAGGATACAGGAGTCAGGAATATAAAACAGAGTGTTCATTGGTCAGGATTAGGGAACTCACAAAGTTCAGGGATCAGAATTAAGTGATGCTCAGAGTGCAGGGGTCAGGATTCAATAATGCAAAGAGGTCAGGGGCCAAGGTTAAAAAGCACAGGGAAGTCAGTGTCAGGATTAAGTAGTGGACAGAGCTCTGGATTAAGTAATGCACAGAGTTCAGGGGTCAGGATTAAGTAGTGCCCAGAGTCCAGGAGTCAGGTCAGGAGCAAATAATTCACAGATAGCAGAGTTGAAGTATATGTAAAATAGATTATAACTGGTCCTTTGGCTTGGTTGTTGTGCCTGATTTATCCCACATCCAGCTAAAATGCCCACCTAGTTCTCTTTCCAAATCATCCCTAGCCCAGCAGTGTCCCTGGAGCTGGCCAGAAGAAGTTTTTTTCCCCTTTTGGATATATTGGGACTTTTCGGGCAACATACACAAAACTGTATAAACACATTAATTTTATTTATATTTTATTATAAAATATTAAAACATCATTAAATTAGCATGTTGTACAAACAGCTAAAAACATATAAGGGTGGTGACATGAGAACATGCTGACTTGCTGTGAAGTTATGCTCTTCCTCTTAAAATTGACCAAGGGAGAAGGGAAAGGCGAGTAGACTTCAGCTGGAAAACCCAACATCTTTCAGAACTCAGTCTTTCCTCAGGTGTAATCTGAAGAAAAGGGATGGTCAAAAAGCATTCTATAGAACAGGGCTTAAAATTTCAAGTCCTGAGCTACTAGCCAGGCCTTAAGAGTTACTCACCACCAACAAACACATACAAACAGAGACACCTGTACACACACAGACATGTACATACACACACACACACACACAGAAACATGTACACACATGCACAGAGACACATGTACACACACACATACAGACACATGTATACACACATAGACACGCACATACATACACAGATACATGTACATACACAGAAATACAGATGCACAGACACATGTACATATACACAGACACACACATGTACATACACGCAGACACATGTACAGATACACACAGTGCATACACACAGACACATGTACATGCATACACAGACACACACAAACACACACACATGCACACACACACACATACTCACACGCACACACCCCCTATAAAAAATTACAGCACTTCGTTGTTCACGCACAGAGCCGGGTACTGCACTCTAGGGGGAGGCAAAGAGCACAGCACACACTCCTTCCTTGCTTTCTCTGCACTCAGCTATTGAGCAGTCTGACGGCTCCCAGTGCCAATGACAGATCCAGCCTGAGCTCTGAGCCTGCTCAGCAAGATGGCCCTGGGGGACACACTTGCCCTCACCATAATTTCCACTCGCCATTGGCGAGCAGGCGAGTGGAAATTTCAAGGCCTGCAAGAATATAATGAACAGTAATAAGATTTTGCAATTGTATACTTGGAAACAATAAAGACATATGTCCATATTACATACCATCCATATCCTTTTAATTAATTTACTTGCCACAATTACAAAAGACAGAGAGATCTCCTGTTAATGTGTCCACCACCAGCATCTCAAGGCATCCCAAGCTGGATGTAAGCATAGCGTGGGGAGAGCAGGGAACTCCCCCAAAAAATTCTCACACTGGGGTTACCCAAGAAGACAATGGAACCAAGTCAGGGGCTATGATGCCAAGGGAACATCTATAGGGAGAAAGAATATTTACTAAACCATATACATTTCTCGTTAGAGAAAGGTATATATTAAAATAGCATAGTCTAGTACCGGTTCATGAGAGTCCATATACAGAAAAAAAAGAAAGAAAGAAATGGGTGTGATACAAGAAGTGCTATCATCCCTAGAAGATACAAAGGAGAAGCCCTCTTGTTAGTGGGATTTTTAAGGCACACGTTAGACCAGGGGTGGGCAAACTTTTTGACTTGAGGGCCGCAATGGGTTCATATATTGGACCCGGGGGCCGGACCAAGAGTAGATGAATGATGTGTATGTGTCATCCATAGTAAGTATAGTAATATTCCCCCATAGTAAGCATAGTAATTAATCCCCCATATAGTAATTCATCCCCCATAGTAATTCATCCCCCCTATAGTAATTCATCCCTCATAAAGTAATTCATCCCCCCCATAGTAATTCATCCCCCATAGTAATTCATCCCCCATAGTAATTCATCCCCATAGTAGTAAATAGTAATTCATCCCCCATAGTAATTAATCCCTCATATAGTAATTCATCCCCCATAGTAATTCATCCCCCATATAGTCATCATCCCCCATATAGTAATTCATCCCCCATAGTAATTCATCCCCCATATAGTAATTCATCCCCCATATAGTAATTCATCCCCCATATAGTAATTCATCCCCCATAGTAATTCATCCCCCATATAGTAATTCATCCCCCATATTAATTCATCCCCCATAGTAATTCATCCCCCATATTAATTCATCCCCCATATTAAGCCCCCAAGTCCCCCCTGTGTCAATTCACTTACCTTTGCTCCGCGTGTTCCTCTCGCCGTCTTCCCGCGCCGTTCCGGTGTAGCATGAAAATCTGTCTCCTATGAGGATCTGTCCCCCTCGACGTATCTGCGCATGTGCCAGTTTCAGGCATTAGCAGCCGATCGGCGATCTCCGGCACATGCGCAGATACGTCGAGGGGGACAGATCCTCATAGGAGACAGATTTTCATGCTACACCAGTCTTCAGGGCGGACTGTGAGAGGAGCCTAGCGGGAGCCTAGCTCCGCGGGCCGGATTAAAAGGTCCGCCGGGCCGTATACGGCCCGCGGGCCGTAGTTTGCCCATTGCTGCGTTAGACCAAAGAGTATTCTAACAAATAATGATTTAAAAGAGAACCATTTTTTATTTGTACAATCTTGTAAAAGACATATAATTACAATTACAAAATATGGTGGTATCACCAGACGTGATTTTACAATAAATATGTGAAGATGAGTCATGCGTGTATTTGCACTTGATGCGTTTCGAGACCAATCACAATCTCCTCTTCAGAAGTGCTCAAAGGGCATGTTGGCTACAGTAAACATATCAATATATATTGCAGGTCTTACATAAATACAAACAATACAATTACATTCTAATAGGACACAATTATGCACTTACATGGCCCCATGCAGGGGCAGAGAGCATAGGAAGGACCGACAATGGGTTCAAATCATTAATTGCGTGAATGCAGTCAATAATTCCATAATCCTTATCCATAATGACAAAAGTGGAAAAAGGGGGGGAGAAACAGGAAAAAAAAACAACTGCCGCTCCGTCGTCTCCTGGAGGGGCCCCGCCACAACCACCCAGGAGCGGATGAAAAGTCTGTCTGGTCACCAATATTATTACAGATGGTACTGTATAAAGAAAGTATGCATAAATTGTAATAGTACGTATGCACCACAAAATCAATAAAGAGCCAAAGGGATTGGAACTAGGAGCACTTACAGGGGTGCAAAATTGATACATAGTGTGGTGGTGGGACAGGAGTGTGAAGCAGGAAATGTGAGGCTGGAGGAGGAAGGCTGCCAGGAGGCCTAGGGGGATGGGGCCTGCCTGCAAGCCTGGAGATGGAAAGGAGGAACACTCAGGACTCACTGGGCCCCTGATGGAGGACTACCTTATGGCAGGAAAGGAGCAGCCCATCTGATAGGCCTGGTAGCAGCAGCCATTCAGGAGAGGATCTAAGTGAGTACACCCGCACCCACTGTGCGAATAAGGGAAGGAGCACTCCGGTGGGAAACCAGATTAGCCCTCTGCTGGTGACTGTGCACCTTATTTAAGGGAACAGGAGCCAGATCCCCTGCTCAGTCTTCAGATTGCTGGGTGAAAAAGAGTCTAGAGTGTGGGGTAATACAACTGGAGCTTCTGGCTAGCACTCCAACAGAGGCTGTGCGTCAGGGAGAAGAAGCTGTGAACAGTTCAGGAAGTTGTCCTCAGACTTTGGGCATCCTATACACCCCTATACTCTATCCAAGTTTAATCCCCTCAAGTAACAAAACGAACACTCAAGGCCTGATTTCTCTCTGTGGATAAAAGCGATGTGGAAAATGCTAACTGACTGGCTGTGCAGGGCTTTGGGGGGACTCAAATCTCTTAACAACCCCCAAGGGGGTAGTGCTACAGTGGTATATATTTTTATCAATAGTGGCTATTGATTTAGCATTTTTTAAGGGTATGAACCTGCATATGATCATGAAAATTGTTTCACTGATTGTCTATTTTTAATAATGTTGTGTATTCATTTGCATTTTTCCAAATAAAGGTATTGAGTTGTAAATATTTTTCACTTAAAGGGACAGTGCACTTTTTAACTTTAGAACTGTATTAGGTCCAGTATTCAGGAATATTAAGTTGCAGCAGCCCTGTAGTTATAATTAATCAAGTGTGAGGTTTCATTACATATAAGTAATTTAAAAAGGTATGCAGTAATTTTCAAATGCGAAGTTATACTATGTGAATGGGAATGTGTAACAAATATAAAGTAGGAGTTATCCCAATTTAGCTGCAAAAGCAAAAATACACTTTAAAACCAAATTCTGGGAACTTTAAAGTGATCCATTGCAGTGGGGCTACACTTGCAATTCAAGAGTTATTTGCTTTCTTGGGAGATGAGAATAACTTTTACATATTTACCTGATCCTCTGCTTCCCCGGCAGATGACGCTTTCCCATGCTTTGGTAGTGGACTGTCCCGTACCATCATGTCGTCTAATGCAAAGCTATAGACCCTGCTTTGGCCATGGTGATGTTAGGACCCCAGACTGCTAAAGATCATGTACACTGGAGGAGTTTACAGGCAGCTGAGTTTACTGGCATTTCTCCGAAAGCATAAAAACTGCATTAAGGACAAGAGTTTATGTCACTGGTCACACCGCTGCGATTTAAAATCCTGAGATTTGTGTGCAATTTCTGAAGACTTTTTTGCTACTTGTGAACATTTTCAACGATTTCTTGCATTTTGCAGTGCGATTTCCATTATATTTTAAGTACAGGTGAAACTCAAAAAATTAGAATATTCGTGCAAAAGTTCATTTATTTCTGTAATGCAACTTAAAAGGTGAAACTAATATGTGAGATAGACTCATTACATGCAAAGCAAAATAGTTCAAGCCATGATTTGTCATAATTGTGATGATTATGGCTTACAGCTCATGAAAACCCCAAATCCACAATCTCAGAAAATTAGAATATTGTGAAAAGGTGCAATATTCTAGGCTCAAAGTGTCCCACTCTAATCAGCTAATTAAGCCATAAACACCTGCAAAGGGTTCCTGAGCCTTTAAATGGTCTCTCAGTCTGGTTCAGTAGGAATCACAATCATGGTAAAGACTGCTGACCTGACAGTTGTGCAGAAAACCATCATTGACACTCTCCATAAGGAGGGAAAGCCTCAAAATGTAATTGCAAAAGAAGTTGGATGTTCCCAAAGTGCTGTATCAAAGCACATTAATAGAAAGTTATGTGGAAGGGAAAAGTGTGGAAGAAATAGGTGCACAAGCAGCAGGGATGACCGCAGCCTGGAGAGGATTGCCAGGAAAAGGCCATTCAAAAGTGTTGGGGACTTTCACAAGGAATGGACTGAGGCTGGAGTCAGTGTATCAAGAGCCACCACACACAGACGGATCCTGGACATGGGCTTTAAATGTCGTATTCCTCTTGTCAAGCCGCTCCTGAACAACAAACGTCAGAAGCGTCTTACCTGGGCTAAAGAAAAAACAGACCTGGTCTGTTGCTCAGTGGTCCAAAGTCCTCTTTTCTGATCAGAGCAAATTTTGCATCTCATTTGGAAAACAAGGACCCAGAGCATGGAGGAAGAATGGAGAGGCACACACTGCAAGATGCTTGAAGTCCAGTGTGAAGTTTCCACAGTCTGTGTTGATTTGGGGAGCCATGTCATCTGCTGGTGTTGGTTCACTGTGCTTCATTAAGTCCAGGGTCAATGCAGCCATCTACCAGGAGATTTTGGAGCACTTCATGCTTCTTTTCCAGCAGGACTTGACACCTGCTCACCCTGTCAAAAGCGCCAAAACCTGGTTCAATGACCGTGGAATTACTGTGCTTGATTGGCCAGCAAACTCGCCTGACCTAAACCCCATAGAGAATCTATGGGGCATTGCCAAGAGAAAGATGAGAGACATGAGACCGAACAATGCAGAAGAGCTGTAGGCCGCTATTGAAGCATCTGGTCTTCCATAACACCTCAGCAGTGCCACAGGCTGATAGCTTCCATGCCACGCCGCATTGAGGCAGTAATTGCTGCAAAAAGGGACTCAAACCAAGTACTGAGTACATATCCATGCTTATACTTTTCAGAGGTCCGATATTGTTCTATGTACAATCCTTGTTTTATTGATTGCATGTAATATTCTAATTTTCTGAGATTGTG